GTATAAAGGATGAAAGAGATTTTTAACTAATTAACTAATTATTCTATAAAGTATACTAAATAAATATATATAGAATATAAATAAAAATATAAATCTCTAATCAAAAGACTAAATATAATATTTGAGATAAAAATATAAATAAGAAGATAAATATAATAAGTAAATAAATATATAATTAAATAAAAATAAGAGTAATTATATAATAAATTATAAATTTATAGAAAAATAAAATTTCATATAATCAAGGAAAGATTATAAAATTAGAGAATTATATGATACTATTGTAATATTATTATTAATTTATTTATATTTTATATTTATTTCTTATAAATAAGTTCTGTTTATTCTGTAATTTAATTTCAGATCTGAATATTATTCAAATAATAAAAATTATAAGTTTTATAAATTAAAATTATTAATATTGTATTTTGTCTGATTTATAATCATTAATAAAATAATCTTATATAAACTTAGAAAATCTGTTATTTATATAATTTCTTTAGATTTTTAAATATTATTATCTAAAGTTAATTTATTATTATTTTTATACTTTATATAAGTTAATATAAAAAGATTTATACCTTAGATAAATATTAATAGATTATTTTTTCAAAATAAACTTTTAATTCTATCTTATTTAATTAAGTTATTAGATATTAAAATTTATTTAAATATAAAAATTTTTATTATATATCTTTATAAAAAATATTTACTAATAATAACTTTTTTTAATTATTATTTCTTAAATTTTACTTTATAAAATTTGATTAAAAGTAATATAAAAATTATATAGTAAATAATTTAATTACTTAACTTTAAATCTTAATATCTTTATAATTACTAATATAATTTTTATGAAATTTAGAATATATATTTATCAAATCTAGAACAAATTAATAGTGATAATATTTAAAATATCTTTTTTTAAAAAAAATAACTTTATCTTAGTTTTTTTTAGTAAAGTGATATTTTATCTATAAAATATAATAGAATAGTTAAAATAGTATAAAAAGTAAATTTAGATCATTTTTTATTTAATATAAAAAAATTATAAAGATTGGTTAAAATTTGAATAATTTTTATTAAAAGTAATTATTAATTTTTATATTAAGATACAAATCTTTTTACACTGATCCATACTTGAAAATAGATGATATTTTATTTTGCTAATAAATACAGAAACTGATAGCAAAAATATTTGTATTAGTATATTTATTATTAATTTACAAATAAAATAATATCAATTTTATATTAATTTAAACTTGGTAATATAATATACAGTGTCTGATAAAAGTTTCCCCACATCTGTAATTTCCGGAAGATCATGTATAGGTATACAAAATTTCATATGGATATAATATATCATATATACTAATCATATTAAACTTCTTTGGACAGAGTGTATAGCAAAAATATCCACGCTGCTTATATAACAATTTTTTCAGTCAAAAAAATACCTCTTCCTTTACATAAATAATATGAAATCATCTTTTTAGCCACTTATTCAAAAGGTCTCAAGCTCTCGATGCATGAGACAGCAAAGCAGATTCATTATAATAAAAAAACAGTCCAAGAATAGGTAAAAAGGTGGCAAAAAAATAAAGACCTAAGTGACAAACCAAGATTAGGTCATCAAAGAGTCACTACTAAAAAACAAGACAAATAGATTTTGGAGTTGGCAAAAGAAAATATAGATATTATTGCTCCAAAAATCCATTAGAAATTTCTAAAGCAAAATATAGACATTTATGTATACACTATTCAATAATGCCTTGGCGAAGATAGAGCTCATTACTATAGAAAACTTATAAAGCCTTTACTTGAAGCAAAGCATCAAAAAAAATGTCTCTCATAGGCAAAGGAGTATAAGGATTTTAACTGGAATTCCGGAATATTTACTGATGAAAGTATTTTCCACTTAAATCAATGACTAAAAAAGGCTTGGCAGTTCGTTGGGACAAGAAAAATAATCTATTTTATCAAGCATCCATTGAAGGTTTATGTATAGGGCTGTTTTTTTTTTAGGCTTTGGAAGATTGGTATATTTTACACATAATCTTAACGTATAATATATGATTACACTATATAAAACAGCTCTTTTGCCTTCTGCTAAGAATCTTTTTAGTGAAGATTGTGATAGTTAGATTCTGCAGGAAGATAATGACTCAAAATACCATTTGAAAATTGCAAAGGCATGGAAAGAAGAAAATAACATCAAAGTTCTCCCCTGGCCATCAATGTCACCTGACCAAAATCTGATTGAGAATATCTGGAGGCTTATGAAAATGAATCTGGCAAAAAAAAAATTAGAATACTTAGAGGTTTAAAGGATGAAATAACATGGAAATGGAATCATTTACCTAAGGAGTATGTAGCTAATTTGGTAAAGAGTATAGGACGTCATGTGAAGGTCCTAATTGAAGCTGAGGGCAATTATACCATGCATTAATTTTCATGTAATGTCATGTGTTTTCAAATAAAAAAAACTTTTTTTTCTTATCATATCTCTGTGTCGAGTTAGGGGTATGGAGAAACTTTTGTTGGGCACTGTAATATTTTATTCATCAGATCAATATTCCAAATATATTTATTTATACTAATTATTATAAGTAAATACTGCAATAATATCTGATAAAATTTCAGTAAAGAAGTATTGAAAAATTTTTATAACAAATTTGAAGAAAGATCAAAGTTCAAACATGTTATAAGCTAACTGAAATCTTTCATAAAGAATTAATATTGTAATCTATACTAAGAAGAAATTATAAGATTGTGATTTTTCTAAAGATTTAAATAGTTTTTATTTTTTTATTTTATATTTATTAGAAAAGATCAATCATTAAAATAATGAAAATATGAAATCATAGATAGATTTGAGAATAAGTTGTGTTTAATTAATGAAAATTTACTATAATCTTTAAAATCTGTTGCTATTGCAGTTATAAATGATGAATTTTTAATTAAATAATTACCACAGTATTTATAATAAAATATAAATATATTGATCATCATTTGGCAGATAATATTTAAAATACATATTGCAAATAATTAAATACATTTTTGATTAGATTAAATAATCAAATAATATTTCACTTATATTATTCCTGATGATGTGATAGATAGTTTTTGTCAAGTTTAATTCATGCAAAGAATATAATAAATCACCGTTTTATTCCTTTTAACCTAAAAAACGATGGTAATAGTTTTTCTAAATTAAAGTATAATAAAAATAACTATAATACGTTTATCTTTAGAATGCCTTTAAGTAAGACATCATATTCTTAACAATCAAAACATGATGCATTTTCTTTCCATGTCAATGAGGTTCGAATGTAATTTAATACTAAAAGTTATATGAACTAAATAATGTTATTTTAATTTTCTTTTAATAATTTTAGTTTATAAAGCAGTACGTGCATATTGTTTCTAATGCATTTCTTTAAGTTGAACTTTTTTTATGAATGGGACTCATTTCGCAAATTTTGAATGAAACGCGAGTCAAATTAGATGCCCTTCATAATCAAAATTCTGTCCAGACCGGGGATATGTATTTTGATTTCAATACATTTCGAAATAGAGGCTCATAGAAATGCTATGTATTCTTTTCACATTAATCTTAAAAGGAAGCCAATATAGAATAAAATTTTCCGCATTATATCCGTGCGGACTGTAGGTTTTTAAAGACAAAATAATTTGCGCTAGCAGATTTAACGGTTCGTAATTCGAAAATAACTATACCAATTGCATATAGTGTATATATTATTGTACCGTTAGAAGAAGCAGTAAATCAATTAGATATATCGAAAAATTACGTTTGGTTGATACTGTTGTTTGATACATTATTGCCGTTACATTGTATACTATCGCTATGTAAATCAAACTACATGTATACAGTGTGTTCTCATGAGAACAAGAATCCAGGATTGTGCACTTCAAGTTAAGAAACAGTGCTCTTTATTTGTTTGATTTTCGTGCATACCAAAGTAAAAATCGAGTGTACTACTATTCTGATTTCATAAATATATGAAACAGTAATGCGAAATTCCTAAATACTGATACTCTTAATGATATTTTTATGATAGCTTTAAATGGTCTTATACTTCTTTAATTATGAAATGTTTATAAATATTGGTACAATGCAATTTTTTCATTAAAAATTTTATTTTTCATATTTTAATATTAATTTTTTATAATAAATTAATAAACAATACTATTAATAGAGAACTCTAAAAAATTTTTGAGAACACACTTCCCAACATCATTTTACATTTTAAATGAAGATCCCCCCCGTTATCCTATCGTTGATGTTAAATGTTAATAAATGCTAGTGGTCGATCCTTATCAAAAACAGAAATTGGACTAGTTTGTCGGGAGATTGGATTGTTAGGAATTTAGATATGTCGGGAAGTTGTATTATCGGGATATTGGGATTGCCGGGAAGATGGGTCTCGTGACGTATTTTAATAACCAAACGCTCGTAATATCTACAAGTTGCAAGGTTTATGGGAAATCAATTTTTTTCCCAATCACTTTCGTTATTTCACTTACGAACATGAGGATCGACAAAAAAATTCTTTGATAATAAATTTTATATGATCATGATCTTAGCGATAGTTTTGATTACATAGCAATAGTACATGTATATCACTATTACTGTACATATGGTAATGAAAAAATTAACGTTTATCAAAAGTTCTTAACGCTAAATCTTGTTATGTCATCTTTTCTGCCTAATAATTTTTGAACCGAGACGGAAAACTTTCAAGTTGATTTATCTACGCATATATACATGTATTTGCAAGCACATCAATTTTGTGATGTGTAAGCTTATATTATGCTTAACTTTAAACTCCTTTATCTTTGTAAAAAAATTTTATTGCAACATATACATGTAATTACATGATAGAATTTACTAAATTATATGATAGACTTTACTAAATTACATGATAGACTTTACTAAAATGCCAACGTTAACGTTAATTGTTACATTGAATTTTTTATTATGATGAACCTGGACATACTACAAAGATTGAGTAGGGATACACTATCGCGGGACTGAAATTGGTAGCATCAGTGCCATTACCAAGTGTCGTTCCTTGGCAGCCGTAGTCAGAGTAAAAGATGTATGTGGTATTAGGATCACTGGTCGTAGCACTAGTTACATTGTTATCGCCGCCCAAACCAAAACATCCACCTCCTACGTTGCCAGTTTGACTTGAATACGCAGTACCGATCAAAACTAAGAAATGAAGATAACGTTAGTATAGAAGAGTTTTATGAATTTATAACTTAAACGAATGTACAGGATCTTACAAACTGTGCAAGCTTGAGCATAAATTACAGAAGCCGCGACGACAGTCAGAGATAAAACAATTGATTGGAACTTCATCTTTGCTTCGTAATTATGTTTTTAATAATATGGAACCTTCAGGTTGTGAATTGCTTGCGAGGGTGTGAGAACTCTTTTTATATTGGAATTGACTAGCCTTGTTACTTCTAAAGATTGTTACGGACAAAACCTATCGCTATCATTGAAATATAATAACGATAACGATAACGATAATTCTCATGTAAATAGATGTGCATGTATTTTCATGATGGAAATGTTTATGCGTATGTAACGTTAAAAGAAATCTTTTATAGTAATATCAGCCAAGCCAAGCAATTTTCCATATTAATTAGGAAATTACCATGCAGAACAATTGAGATTTTTTTCATCCCCGATTATTATTTAAGCTATATAACTAACTCCTTTAGGAAATTAAAATATTTATGATACATTCATACAACTGTTGGTCTATGATATTAAATGAAATTTGTACTTGTGCATGTAATAATGAAGCATATCGTATGATATCGCGATTGAAGTTTTTTCTCACACAATTATCCAGAAGAATGTATTTTTAGCCTGTGCATTTGTTTCTATATTTGAGTGTCGTCTTGGGCAAAATTATGTCTACATTAGATAACGATAAAAGAGCACGTTTAAATTAAATGTATGTGTGAATAGAGATGAATGTAATTTTAATTGATAACTTTGGTACATCAGTTTTTAAAAGAGAAAACAGTTGTTAGATTTATCTCATCTTGATCGAATAACTAAAAACTCAGCTAAAGCGAATACTAGCAAGAGTAATACTGTTTCAATTACTTTATTATAACTTGACTTAATTAGAGGCTCAAGCGCGTCTTAGTGTGCCAAATATTGTACAACATTGTATCGAATATTGTATTAAAAGTGTAACAAACACTATGCTAAATAATCCACCAAAAAGTATCGGTATACTCAAAATAAAAAAATAATTAAAGCTTACTGCGATCGGATGATCCGACTACATGTATTATTTGTTTCTAATAATACTAATACATGTAATCTTTTTTATTATCGTTATCGTCTATGTGTTGACGTTGATTATTAACTTAATCGATTATTATAATTAATAATGGATAAAATAAGAAAAATGTTTGAGTGCGCTATTTTTAGGGTTATTGAATTTTCTTGGCAAAGTGGTACGAGTCGATCACTTGCAGGTCACGTAGGAAAGATTAAAGGTTTTTGGGCGCAATTTAAGGACGCAGTTACTTATAATGGTGGTGATCTCCGTAAGTACATGTAATTGAAACAGTATTATCTTTTGTTATTTATATTATTGAACTTCAGATTTTTACTGAAAGTCAATAAAGTGATTATAAATGAGGGAAGAATATCATTTTATTCATAAACTTGAATCTCAGAGACTTCATTTCAAAGTATTTTATCAAATGTCAGCCAAGTATTTGCATACATGTATATTAATTCCAAAAATTTAACTTGTGTTGAAAATTAAATATTTACGCAAGATTATCTTTTGATCTGATAAGTATTCATGGAGAAAGTTTGTACATCATGACTTTTATCCTGGAAATATATCTTCAAATTGATGATTTTGGGCTTGCAACAGTTATAGAAAAATCTAACCAAGAAATTTGTGGAGTTCTTTCATTATATAAGTCTAAAGGTACTAAATGGAAAATCATGCACTAACGCTGTAGATATTTATAAATTTGGAATGGTAAGGTACGATATTGTAGCAGGCGAACAACGAGTCATGATATATATCTCGTATTAGATATCTATAAAGAAATACGACCTACGATAGCAAATAATGTTCCCGGCGGTGCAATTTATTATTGAAAAATGTTGGGAACATATTCCAGGAACAGACCAACTGTTGAGAATTTAACAACTTTATTAGGTCAATCTTCTATTGGAAGCATAGATACTCTGAATACTTTGCATTTTCAGTTTATGCTATTTTCCCAAAAAAACAGGGAAAATAATAGATATAGACAGCAAAAAAGTACTCGGCAAGTATTCTGGCGTTCCTTATTTTACTAACGGACAACGACGATGATTTAGAATATGAAGAAATAAAAGAGTACGTTAGAATAGAAAAACAGAAACTTGATGATGAAATGTGCTTGCAAAAAAGAATTTCCACAAATACAAACAAAAAAACGACAAATCCAATTTACATTTGTCGAAAGCTTTTTTCGAAATCAATATCAAGGTATGTAATATTATCTAATTTATCAAATACAGTGGCGGTCAAAAGTAATGCATCGGGGCTAAATTTATTAATAAAACAGTGAAAATTTATAATTTTATTAGAAATAATTTCTATTTTTATATAGAGAGAAAATTTCAATTTTCACTATGTTTTATTAAATTTAGCCCCTGATGCATTACTTTTGGCCGCCACTGTATATGTCTATAGATTCTACAAGTGTCAGTTTGTATGTTCTAAATGAAGGTTAAATTCATTATATATATGCTGTATGTATAGCTGTATACATGTATAACCTATAACGTTCCAAATTCACTAAAGTGTTTGTTAGAACTTTTTCCATAAGTATTCTAGTTCGTTTATTTTATGGCCAACATCCTACATTAATAATATCACATAAAATTTTCAAATTGATTTAAATCAGGACTATTAAAAGGGTAATCAATTTCGTTGGTGTATTTTTTTCAAAAATGTTGCAACGTAAAGTCTCGTGATCACGGAAAATTCTGGAGTAATACTGAATTTCTTGATTCTGCACTCCTATGAGTAATGTGTAACGAAACCTTAAAAATAATTAATATGTAACGGTAACGAATCTTAAAAATAATTGTCCCGGAAATTCCTAAAAAATTCATATCTTGTAGTACCACATTATCTCCGCTTTTTGAATACAAGAAATATTTATTAAAAATCCTATCTTGCACGTCCAAGATACTGATTATCGTGAACCCTAATTAATAATTAATTTTAATAACGTAAAAAAAATTTTTATTTATTTCTTTTATATATAAATTTTACATTAAATTTCATTACATCATCTTATCCTATAATATACTTTTCTTTTTGTGAAAATTCCAACTAAAATTCTTAATTTGTGCTCTAGATGACCCGCAAAACTTGTAATTAACGAATTTCAATTTAGATAATTGCGTGATAATGAAAACTGTATATATCTCTCGAAGGTCTGAGAGACAGGCAATGTGTGGTTTGAAGAAAATAACCAAATAAAATTAATTTTAACTCTTGCCTAAGAGTGTTTCAGCTTTATTTCTTTGTGCAAAAATGAAATTGTTAGCTTTTGATTCTCTTTGTGCTTAACAAACTTATTGCTTTGGCTATACAAAGTCGATGCATTATGTTTGATTTTGCTGATATTGATTTTATATCGCCTTTTTATTATTTTGTTATTGATATAAGTATTTGATTGTTTTATTACTATGGACCTATTATTGTTTTGAAAAAATTATATAGTTTGTTATTTGCGTTGCATATTCTTTAATTGTGTTTAGCCTCTTTAAATTCAAATTATTAATTTGAACTTTATCTTTGACCTTGATTGCACATCTCCGTGAAAGATTGCTACAGGTGACCTTTAGAATCCCATTTCGTGTAAATCATTCAGCCTTTATTCTTGACCCTTGTTACATTTTTAATTCGTTATCAACCTAACTTCCGAATTGAATGCGACAATACTTTGGCTATATGACTTGTGTGCTTGGAATCATTATCTTATTGGAATTTTCAACGACCACCAAGTATAATTTCATTTTTTTGTTTGGAATGTTATTGTATATTGTAAATTTAGGAAGAACTGTTCATTTTACATCTTGTCGGACGTTCATATTCGTTTTATTATAAAACGTGGTAAAAAAGAACAACGTGCTACGAAAAACATTTGCTTTGATACATGTAGTCATGCACATGTTCTATTTTGGTTCCAGATTCTAACTTAAACGGAAAAGCTATAGAATTTTTAATTTTTGATTTTCTTAACGCATGTATCGGTATATGAGAATCACTCAATTTACATTTATTTCGCTTCACATCATGTAAATAAATAATTTTATACAAAGTACATGTATATACAAACGAGTGTCCATTATCTTAAAGAGAAAAAATAACCCGAAAATATGAAACTTGTGAAATCCAGTCTTTTTTGAAGAATATGAAAATATTTACTATTTACAAATTTTGTAAATATCTTGGCTATCGCTATGAATGAAAATCATAAATGAACAAATAAATACATTTTTAAAATTGCCATCAAAATAATATTGGATGCTAAAATGAAACTTGGAAAGACAAATACAATATATACATATATATAATAATAATAAATAATATATTTCAGGAATGACAGCAGTATACTAACTTATAATAAAGTTTTATAAAATTTCAAAGTTATATAAATGACAAGTTATATAAAATGACAAAGTGCTAAAATGGTTTTAACTACTCATTAGAATATATTTTTTCAAAATTGAAAAGTATAACCATTTCGAAAGCTTGACCATGACTGTTTTCTTTAGTCTTTTGATACCACTTTAATGCTAATTCAAGATTTTTCGAAATGCCTATTCCATATTGATAAAATTTCCGCGATTAATTTGAGTTTTATTGTATCCTGACTCTGCAGCTTTTAAATACCAATTAAGTGCTTCACTATCATCTTTGCTTGTCCCTTCTCCATATTCATAACATTGCACAAATGGAGAATAGAAGTGTGAATTACGTTTTTTAGATGACATCAAAAGATATTTGAATAATTTTTTCACCATTTCTTTCGTAATTTTATAAATAAAACTTAATATAAAAATCGATTTCTTTCATGACCAGAATTATCAGACACATGCTTTATCCGCAGCATTTTCTACTCATATACCACATAACAAGGCAAGTTATTTTGCGCGTCAGGATTCCTGACTCTTCTGTTTTCAAGTATCACTCAAATGTTTTTTTGATTGTTCCTATTCAATTTCGGTAGCAATTACCAACGTTTATCTTGTACGCCTAGATGTCCTAACTCTGCTGCTACCATGTACCATTCAAATGCTTTTGTTTGTCTTTTTTATCCAGTTCACAACTGTATACTTCTACTTGAACTGCTGCTGATCGTCAACATTAAATATAAATTAAGTCTAAAATTTTTCTATAATGTATTATCGTGTAAACTTTGCAAAATTTTATTTTGACAGAGTGTAATTTATTTTCGTATCAATAAATCGTCTATTGTTGTCTCTATCAATTGGTTTCTGTTTCATCATTTGTACTTTTTGCTAATAAATATAGATGATAATTTTTTACTTGATTCGAAAAAATTGCTACAGGCGAATCAGGGTTGTTTTCATTTAAACGTGCATCTATTGTTGAAGTGGGTGTTAAAGCCTAACCCATTTGATCATTTATAACATCATCGAAGATTATTCTGGCACCGTCGTCATTATTTTCCTCGAAAAGCATTTCTTTCATTTCCTTACTCTTGATGAACATGTATTATCGTTATCATTTGTTGGTGGAATAAAATTTGCGAATACACACTTATCTTTTCGAATTCTTTGTTCAATGACCTTGTGTTGTCATGTTTAGGTTAGAAAATATAGTATACCGTATTTGGAGGAATATAAGCAACATCCCCGTATTGGTTCTTTACCCTATATTTTGAACCCTAAAAAAATACATGGCTGCTTTGTTGAAAATTTAATTTTAATTGGTGATGCATATACGTGTACAATGATGGAATCTATATTTAAATTATTGATAAGTAAAATTCATCGTTATATTTATTAGCGTCAATGTTAAAGATTAATAATGAATAAGTATATAATCATGTGATTTTTATTAGGGAGAATACGGTGATGTTGCTTATATCCCGCAAAATACGGTAATGGTAATCGATAAATGATGGCATGAAACTTTTCTATTGTCACACTCAATTCGGAAGTTAGTTTGACTAACGAATCAAAAATGTAACAGGGGTCATACACGAAGTGAAATTCTAAAGATCTCCTGTGCCTCAGTTCTCAATGAACAAATTCAATTTTTTCTTCTCAAATTGGCCAGGCCTTTGAACAACACAGCCTGGTTGATATCAGGATTACAGTCAAACAGCCTCCAAGAATACTATATTGCTACTAATTTGAAGTGCCAAAAAAATGAGAAAATTATAAAAATAAAAAAACAAAGATCTCTATGAACCCATTTTTAAAAATATATTTGGATGGGACAAGCCAAAAGCAGTTTACAGCAATCTCAAAGTACAATGTTCAGGAATATGATAATACATGAAACATGGCAATATTTTAATTCTTTTTTGTCAGGTTTATTTCCTCATTTTTTTTAAAAAAATAATTTTACAAATGAAAACATTTCTATTTTATACGTAGTTGCACTTCACTTTCATCATCAAATAACATTTTTCCCTCGTATTCCTTGAAATGTTTTCTTTTTTTGTATAAAAATAAAAACCTAATGTTACTATGTTGGGAAATAGGGTTACTATGCTCAATTTGAAAGAACAGTATTATCATTTTGGGCGAATCAATTAATTAACTGAGTTTCTAATTATGAATTTTCATGGTTATTTTACAAAAGTGCGAGGAATTTTAATAATTTCGCATTAATTATATACATAAATTGGTTTTTCAAATTATTATCGTATATATTGGAAATAGAATTTATTTTGAGACTGAACTGTTGTGCGATGAATTAAAAATGAATAATAAGATAAACATTCATTTTTTTTTAATTTTATTATTATTATCTATTCTAGGCATCATCACATATATATTCTCTTACAGCCCCACAGGAGACCTTTAGAGTATCTGAAGGCACTAACATTTTGTAAATTATTCCTTCTTACTCTACACTTTGATCATACCCTTCTTTTCTAATAATTTTGAAGAGTATTAGCATACAACAGGGCAATTATGTATCTAACATTCCCGTATGATGCTTCTGAATACCAATGTCTCAGTTGCTCCTTTTTGTATTGTCAATAAATCATTATCTCTGATCTCTATTCATTACTATTTGTGAATTCGTGTTTAGCTTTATTCGTTACAATAGTA